TAAATTCATCATATATTGGCAAGCAACAAGATACACATTCTTTCATGTAATCTAATCCATTATTCCTCCACCAAAAGCTATCAAAGGCTTGACTTAAAGAAAGGGCTGTTTTTAATAGCTCTAAAGTTTCTCCCTCTAGACATCTTTTTTATTTTTTGTAAAAATATGTTTTTGTCTAGTAGATCCAAATGCAGGCTAAGAAACTGTCAAGTTCGAAAGTTGCCCAGCTGGCAATCCGAAAGGCAGAGCCAGCCTCCAAACACCACCATCCTTGGGCAACTCTCTCCAGAAGCAGCGAGTGATCCACTGTCAGAAAAGCAAGTCACCATCACCAGATTCATAAACAGGAGGGGAGGAGCTGCCTGGAGAGAGGTCTCTCATTAACGGTGCAAGAGGCTTTACCAAGAAACCAAGCTCCAGCATTGCTGCATCACGGAAAGAAGATCCCCAGATTTGGGATCCAGCCCCCACAGCCATTAACGCAGAGTAGTTCAATACTAAGTGAGCAGAGCACTAGCTTTGAAGCGAGTGCCCTTCCTGTAATGACACCTTATCAGACAAATGCAGACTGACAGGTTAGACGTAGCTACAAATTAAACAAATAGGTTGACTGTTCGTACTGCATCAAAGAAATTCAATAGTTTGTAATTCTTCGTCAAAAAACATTCAATGAAAGAGGAATGGATGGTATGGTAACGTGTACTTAAGTATAATTTAATCCTCTTAAATACAGATCATTTTAGCAACTGAGGTATAACACTGATTATAGTTCCTGGCGAAATACAAGCACTTCACCTAAATCACTAGTTCTTAAAGCAAAAATACGCATAAGGTTTCTCAAGCTTGTGAAGGGTCAAGCAGTTCATTAAGCCTTTTGATAAAAATAAATAAATAATTTAAAAAAACCCCACTATTTCCAACACACAAAGAGAAACAAAATAAAGGACCAGATATTTACATACTGTGAATTAGCAAAGAATTACTGGGGTATTACAGCCTTCATCTCTAGTCACCACATCCCAGAAATCACAGATCCTTATTCACAAGACTACTTCCACAACCCAGGTTTAAGGATGAAAAAGCAAAAAGCACCGCCGTGAAAGTAGGTAGGATGCGCAAGTATTATTTCATATAAATCCTATACCTAGAATAATTTCTTCACCACAGCAAAATACATATACATAATGAGAAGGCTACTATTTAAAAAGAGAAAAGATGGACGACCTGGCAGTCCATGCATGAAACTACAGCCCTACTCCATTCAAACCTTACTTAAGGAAGCATTAAATTCTAAGCAATTTTATTGGGCAAACTACATTTCACAAGCCAGGTGACAGTTCAAGTAATTTTTAGCACTGATATTTTCCTTGCCTTTGCTATGCCACAGTCTTCCTATCCGTAAAGTGGAAAAACAAACCTCTAAAACAGCATAATTTGGGGGCCCCGATATTTGTAAAACATCCTGTGTTGGATTCGCCTGACATCGTCAGATGCTTACACCTGACCTCTTCACCCCGGTACTCCTCGAGGGCAATTCACCTCATCCTCAAGTAGAATTCTCAAATAAGCCAGATGAATTGTCCCCCAAAACGTCTTTTTCTTTCTACTGACCACAGAAGCAGCCCAGCTCAGATATAGACACCTGCACCACAGACACCTTCAATTAAGCAACAGGAAACCAACTTTCTGTGCTTCACACGAAAGATGCTACGTTCTGTTCACTCAAGTCTTGCTGCAAGGCCCGCTACTGCCACAGGACTTGTTTTTCATCAGGGTGTTGAGTTTTGATGGGATTTTTTGTAAGGACCGAGGCAAAAAGCCCTTAGGGAATACTGATATCATTAATATTTCTGGAGCACTGATAAGAAGCCTTACTTGAACCTTCCAGGTTTCACATAGATGACAAACTTAAATCACATGCTCCAATCTCTGCCATTCATTTTCACTCCTTCAGTAGCTATGTCATATTCACCATGCTGAAGTATTTTAAATTAGAGTGCAGGCTGCCTGGTACGAAGCCCGTTTGATGCATTTGAACAGGGCTCAATAATGAAATATAAAATGTTAAGAAAGCCATCATTTTGAGCCATCAATCTGTATAAACCGTATGCGACTTATTTCCACTATTCCATGATAGGAAAATAGCATATTATTCTTTTAATGTTTGCTTAAGTATATTTCACCAAAAGCTCACTATACTAAAATTCAGTGTTGATTAAGTATGCAAGAATTTTCACTTCAGAACTCAATACATATTTGGAATGGGTATTTTTTTTTTTAAAACAGAAAAAGCAAAGTCTTTAATAATGGATAATACCTTAGAAAACCAAGTCTAATAAACAGTTGTGGTTTACACTTTAATGTCAGTCAGAAGAAAATACAGAGTGATATAACTTCGCTAAAAGCCTACAAACTACTTCCTTCTTCAAAAGGAGATGAGCAAAAAAGTTAATGTCAAAAAAAGTCATCTCTACGAAATCACAGTGAGTTCATTACAATGCTTTGAAAGGCACATTTGATTTTCTTCCTCCCATTAAAAAACCGAAAACGCGGGCATACCTGCACCAGATGCTGATCGGTGCTGAGACTGCGGTCTTCCACTGGGTGAGGAAGGTTCCTTCATACGATCAATGACACTGTCAGACAGCTGAAAAATATAACCCCCAACCCAAAGAGAGTCAGACTGCATCTCCTCCTTTATCCCCATTATTATCCCCCCTTTTTCCCCCCAATAATGAATTAAACCTTTAAAAAAAGAGCACAGAGCCCCGAAATAAGATGTGACAGCTGCTAAAATTTTATCAACAATGCAAAATAAACTTTGTATTTCCCCTTTTTTGTGGGCAAAACGCTCATCTCTGAGCGCAAACAATCAGGCTGAACAAGATCATTTTGGCTTTCACAGAACGCAAGAAACTGATATGACAAAACACAGGATACGGGGAAAGATAAAGGAAAGAACACCTTTTGACACATCGCCTGTAATTAATCAGCCTTTTTGCCTCTCTCAGTTCTTTGGATGACAGTCAAATACCACACCGTGCAGGTGCAGAGCACTTAACCCAGGAGGAACTTCATCCTGATAAAGCCCTCAAAACACTTGTGCAACACAAGTGGTCAGAGCAGGTATAGTCAACCACTAAGTTCATTCTAATGTTGACACACGCACACACAAAAATACTGTCACCAATTTTGCAGAATCAGAGAATAAGAGTAATGTCCAGTTTCAGGTCTTTTGTAGGCCACAGAAAAAATTAACAGAAGTTAAAGAAGTCATTACATGAAAGCTTTCGTTTTCCAACTTAGAACTTTTTATTGGTTTCCTCGAACATCAACTCTATCAAAATATTGTTTTGACTGCCCATGAAAACTAATTTTACCTAGCAAATTCTTCACTAAATCTACAGTATGACACCTCTCACTGGCAGAAATCTGTGTTACAAAGATTTTGCTAAAATCTGCAATCTAATATGCAAGTGTAAAATCTCTTCAGTATAAGATTTCTTAACCCAATCCTTAAAACTCCCAACTTCACGCAGTTAGTTTTACGTATGTAAACAGTTGTGTATATCCCACTTTTGGATGCTCTATCACCTAACATTATTTATTTAGTGAAGCTGTATCTTCCTAGTACCCATGATATCATTCAGTCTTTATTTCCAGTATTTCAAGATGCAGGATACTTTAGAGAAATTCCAATAGCCCTTCCCAGTACTTAAGCATGGTTCAGAGCGGATGAACCCTGCTGCGAACGCTTACATTACTGTCACCTACTTGCCTGAGAGCATTAAATGACCAGAACTGAAAAAATATTAGTATGCTGAGATAGGCAGCAGTTACTATCACGGTTCATTCTGCAACACTCCTCCCTATGAGCAGCAATAAAAGACAACTTATTATCCTTCCTGGTATGAACCACAGTGTCTTCCACTGAAGAATTTCTAAGCTGCAAGATTTCTCCAAGTGTCTTGTGTCACAAACTACCTTCTGGTATGTTATAGGCAACAGCATGCCATAAACAGGGAAAGAATGGGAATGCTTCTGCAGGCACAGAGGAAGTCGGGTATACGGCGTGTAAGAGAGCGGAATATGGGAGAGGGAGGAGCTCTCACACGTAGAGGTCAGGGAAAGACAAAACAAGCTCTTCTAGTTGCACCTCTCTCCTACAACTGTTCTGCTGCCCGTCTTTGGAAACCAGGCTGGGGGCAAGGCTCCCCGATGACACCTTCCTATTCACGGCGTGCTTCTTCCACGACAGACGCCTCCGGACTGCACCTGAGCACCGCGGCTCTCGCCGGTCCCTTAAAAGACCCCACTGAAAAAGCGGAGCGGGGGCGGGAAAGGGGCCGAGGTCACTGCGGGAGAGGGGACGGAAACGGAGGAGAGCAACCGCGAGGCGTGAGGGGACGGAGCTGCAGGGACGGGGGCAGGTGCCAGCAGCGTAGAGGCTGAAAGAGACGAGAGAGGGACCGGGGCGGGCCGAGCTCGGGGCAAGCCAGGCCCCGAGAGTCCCTGCGGGCCCCGGCGAGAACCCCAGGCCCGGGGGAGCCCCGCTCTCACCCGCACGCCCTTCACCACCGTGATGTTCTCATTCTCGTCCGCCTCGAAGGTGACGCGCCGGGTGCTGCTCCCGCCGCCGCCCATCTTCGCCCGGCGCCACCAGGCCGCGGCCAGGGACGGCCCCAAGGAGACTCGCTGTCCACCCTGCCAGCGCGCCCCGCAACAAAGCCGCCCTTCATTGGCCCGCCGCTCGCCCCGGCCCCCCCCCCGCGCCTGGAAAAACCCTGCTCCCTATTAGCTGCGAGGCCGTAGCCATGGAAACCGCGCACCCCCGCTGAGGAGCGGCGAGGTACCCGGAAAGGGTGCGGAAACTTTTTCGGTTTAAACTTCACGGGTGCAGACTACAAGTCCCAGGATGCTTAGCGCCAGGAGGCGGGGGGGCGGGAGCGGTGCCCCTGCGCAGTGCCCGCTGGGTAGTGTAGTTCTCGCCAGCCCCCGGCTGTGCTTTGGCCGCCCTGAGCGGGGGGAAGTGTCGTCCCTCATGGCCCGCTGGGGCTCTCCCGGGACACGGTCCCGCTCTGAGGGGACTTTCGGGAGCCCCCCCCAGCTCTGCGGTGTGCTCCTGCCCTCCCTCAGCGAGGCCACGCCGATGGCTTGCTGTGGGGTGAGTGCCCCAGGCTTCTGCTGGAGCTCTGGGCCGGAGCTGATGCCTCCTCCCCTTTTCCACGTCATAACGGCATAAAATTACCATTGGCACAGCCCCTTTGGGCATGTAGTTTTCTTTCCAAGAGATGAATAATGTTAATAACGCATAATACATTTCCTTTTCAGCCTGCAATATAAACTGCATCTGGATCTGGCTGTTCCGCGGGTAAAATCCCCCCTGTAGATCCCATGGCCTATCTTGATGGCCGGAATTGCAGAGGTGCGTGCTGGGAAGACGTCTGAGAGGAGAAAAAGGTGTTCTTTAGCGTATAATATCAGAAAAAGTATTGCATTCTGGATGTCAATGGTGTCAGACACATCTTTGAATTTCTCTAGCCTAAGTATGAGGCAAGAAGTGCCTTTACATAGCTGGAATATATGAATATACATTGTTTTGTCTCTCCTACCATCTGGCCTCTTCACTTGTTTTACCCAGTGAAGCCCCAGTCTTCTGCTGGGACTTTTTGACACTGGCAACATATAAATAATAATAACCATGATATTTGGGAAACTTTATCTTTTCTTTTTCCCCCTTCCAAGACCTTCATCTGCATGGCTCAAGGAAGGATAGCCTTTTTGTACTGAAGTGACACCGAAGCCTTCCACTTCCCTTGCAAGAAATTTGTCCTGAAGTGTTTACATAATGATGACAACGGATTATTGCAGCCCGTGTCAACTGACGCATTTCATGTCTCTGAATCGATGCAAACATTGTGTTCGTTGCATCAACAGAACTGCTCACATGTCCTTGATACATTTTCAAGCAATTTTTATTTGGATGTAAAATGTCTGTCAGCCAACATTTCAGCAGTATCTATCTGTCTTCCTGGGGGCTTAAGATATTGCTGAAGCATTGGCTGATAGTCACTTTACTACCAAATAAAAACTGCTTGAAAATATATCAAGGACATAGGAGCTGTTCTCTTGAGGGATGTGACGTGATGTTTGTGCCCGTTTTTATAGATGTTAAACCAGTTTCTATGAGGGGGCACTATTAAGAATTCAACATCCTGGTAACTGTATGTTTTGAAGGGAATAAATGGACTGTGCATCTATCTGTCTTGATACTCTGTGAGCACCAACAAAGAGAGGGTATTGAATTTTCTTTTTTTTCTGCACTGGGAATGTTTTTAGGGGGTCAAATTGTATTTATTCAGTTAGTGACATAACTGTTGTGGAAATGCCCATCTCCAAATCGGAAGCAGCTCTTCTAATATATTTGTCCTCTGTTGGGAGCGTCCTGAGAAAATACTCTTGTCTTGCTGAACAGAAAGATTTATACTTAGGAATTAAGGTTTTAACAACAGCTATTTTCTACCAGGGGTTTTTATGATTGTTTTGCATGACTTGAAATTACAGAACACTGTAACATATGCATAGATTTCAGGAGGGGGGGGAAAAGAACAAATGGGCAGAATTACATCTCAAAATTGCTTTGGGTCATTTTGATGTGTCTGTAAGGTTCTCTCACTGTAGAAAGAGCAGGACTGAGGTACCCCAGAATTTATGGCTCCCCTATAATAGGTGGAAATGAAAGACTGTTTGCTGCAGGCCAGAGCTATCTATATGTCAGAAGCTTTTCACTGTGGACTGTCAAACCTGTTTGAGAACTCTTTCAAGGACATTGCTAGATGAAAAAAGTATTAGAAATTAATGTTAGAAAAGGCTACAACAAATTTGCAGTCCAAAAATCATTCATTATCGACTGGCAAATAAACTCATGTGTAGTTCACAACTCTCACAAGCAATTTGCAACTAGAAAAAGAAGTTGTTCTGTGTATAACTTCAAACAATTTATAAGTTCACGTAAATAATACGCTTATTTTAAGAGTAGTGTCGATCAATGCGGTACACAGAGTTGACTGCTATGTGGCATAGAAAGACCCAACCTAGTTTAAACTAACTAGTACAGGCAGCAGCAGTAATCAAAACATCAAAGCAGAGCTCAGCATAGAGTAATTTGTTACTACTCGGTAGTGTTAATCAGTCTACAGGAGTTCTGTGCAGCCAAGCCAGGCGCTTTTGATACGTGTGTTACCTCAAATACCTGCGTCCTACTCCAGTCAGGGTAAAACTCTTCAAAGATACAGATGATGAAGTGACATGCCCAAGGTCATTCAGTGCCAAAGCTGCAGGACATTGGTCTTCTGTATCAGTTCTCCTCAGCGGTTACTAGAGAGTACATTTCTACCAAAAAAAAAAGATAATGCAAGAGCGGAATGACAAATGCAAATGCAGCAATCAATACAAACCTATTAACTGCTTCTGATTCTTGTTTGATCTGAACCCGTTTCTGACTTGTGTAAGCAGAAAATCCATCTCAAACTGGTAAACTTCAGGTATTTCACTGTGTATCTGAAAAACAAGCAGTATCTTACTCTGTTAAAAACATTCACTTCTTGTGGTGCTGTGTGCTTTTCCACGTACCCTGCACATTTTTATGGCCAGATTATAAATGCTTGATCCTTTGTTAAAAAGCAGTGCTGTTTTTTCCAATCTTGTTTGTCCTTGACTGGACATATTCCTTTGTGGTAGAAATATTTCTTGTACCACTTAATACTCAAATTGTTCGCTATAAAGTATAGCCAAAGAGTAGTGAAGGACAGCATTGCCAGACATTCAGAAACAAATAAATCCTAATGAGCCCAGGAACGAGTTACTATTAAATTTCAGACTCTTGTCTCAAGACTTAAAAAATGCCATGAAAACACTTGATAGGTGAGGTGACATATAAAGGCTCATTGCACACCTGCTGTGAGTTTTTATTCTGCGGAGGATCATCTTGCTCGGTCACTGCCACGGTGAGCATGTTGTACCATATGACTTTACCTGGTTATCCCTTGATGGTCATCTATTCCTTAGAAATGTTCAGCATGGAAAGACTTTGATAGTACCTAGGTTCCTCCTTATCAGTAATGACCATTATAGCGAAGTCTGCAAGTTCTCAAAAACCTGGAAATTAACCCTTTCCTGTTGGATGCAACAGCCCGCAGTGCCTTCTGCCATAAGATGAGATTTCATGAGTAAATAATGTACCTCCAGTACATTCCTGGTGTGCCAAATCCTGCTTCTGTTGGTGCTATCGGCACAAGTTTCAGTACCTGTTATAACTGCAGGGCAAATTAAGCTAAACCATCAAATTCCTCTAAATGATCTTTTCAAACATATTTGAGGGCCTGGTTGTATAAAGGGCAGAAGACCTTCCCTTTCAATCCCAATTCAGCTCCTGCAGAGGCTGAAGGTTCATGGCTCATCTCAGAATCAATGCTTCAATCATTGCTTCGCTTCTCACGGTCTGTGTTTATTCTCATTAGTTCAAGACAAGAGCATGCTTGAATTTTTGCCACATGCTCAGTAGCACCTTATCAGCCACCGTTACCAGTTGCTATCACACGGAGACTCATATCTGCATGGTTTGGTTTCCTGAGTAATCAAGGTTAACAACCTGATCAATGAATAATGATGAATTAGTCTTCTTTTTCTGAGGGGAAAAAAAAAAGTGAGTTCAACTCATCATATTCATTGCAGGAGCGAGGCTGGATTTCTAGTTGGTGTCTGAGACGGCTCTACGGGATGTGTGCTATCTGCAGACCACCACCGCTTCCTCGAGATCAGGTTTGGGACTTTACCTTTTTCTTTTGGTGTACCAGTGCTTAGCACCACGACACTCCTGCTTTTCAGCTTCATACAGCAGCGTATACAGAACGCCAAGAAAATATTTTTGCTACTTTCTAGAGTACCTGGGATACTTTATTAGTCTTTATTTCTCTATTGGCTACTCTGCACTGTATATTGGATTATGTTATATATATCACCCCAGAGATCCCCGCGCTTTCATAGAATCATAGAATCATAGAATCATTGAGGTTGGAAAGGACCTCTAAGATCATCGAGTCCAACCGTTAACCCAACACCACCATGC